CATTTCAGTTTACAAAAGGTTTTATGAGAATGCTCTATTTTCAGACAGTGGGGAATCCTCTACATGGTCAATATGTATTAGAATTCCTTCTCACTATATTTGAATTTTTGGGAATTATAAGGACATCAGGAGGCCTCTACATTGCATAAGTTGGGAACAATTTAGGTACATCAAAGAAAATAGCTATCAGTACTATTGTAGGCATTAATAAATTGGGGCAAGGGAGTGATATGGATCCTTGGTAAAGCCCCATGAACTGGGTGATCAGGACAAAGGAGCTGATGGGGAGAGGACCTCCCAAGAATGGGGAGGATTTGGATGGATGAGGGGTAGAGCATTAGAGTCAGGGCCGATAGGATTCTTGCTGATCTAGCTGATTAACAATGACTTCCCCCAATTTTCTCCTTATGTTAGGTAAGCAGATGTCTCCTGGCACCTTGTTCCAGTGCATGTAGAAGCCTGTTGACATCTGGGTCTATTCCAAGCTCCTGTCTTTTATTCAATCTCAGAGCTCACTGGGCAGGATGGGGTGGGGTATTTCATAGAACCAGGCTGTTCATGATGGTAAGGGGAGCTGTGCTCCCCTCCTTAGAGTTGATTATGAAGCGCAAGCGTGGGAGGTGGAGAAGGCTGAGTGAGGCTTCATTTCCTCCTCAGTCTTTCTGTGACCAGATGGGCTTTACACAGAAGTGTCGGCACAACTGGTTTTCCTCAGCAACTTGAAAAGCTTGCTTATCCTTACTTCCTGCCTTCCCTTGCACGACCACTCTGGACTTCCTGCCTTCTCCAACCACCATTCTCCAAGCTGAGGGCAGTTAAGTATCAGGAAGAAGTCTTCCTCTCTCAAATCTGAACGCCTCAAAACCCTTTCCTAACTGCAGGATGTGATGGCAGGGCTGGGTTTTTGTCATGTGGGACCCTTGCCGGCTGCCAGGGATCGAACTGGCGCTGCAGAGCCTGTGGGCAGCTTTGAAGTCCAGCGCTCAACCACTGCGCCACCAGGGAGGCTAGGGCTGGGTTTTTGAACAAATCTAAGAGGTAGCATTTTAGCCAAGATATGTAAGTGCTAAATGATTTCTAGTCAGAGGAGACATCATAAACTTCCTCAAAAAATAAAAATGGAAAAAAAGTGAAAAAGGAAAACTTTGGTAGTGAAGCACTGGAGGTCTTTCTAGCATGTCAGAGCAACCATCTTGGAATCCTAATGGCTCATTCTGAACATGCCCTCTGGATCCCAATGTTAGCTCCTCTGCCTTCTCCTAGTTAGAATTTTAAACTAGGGTTTGTGTGTGACAGGGTGTGGGATGTATGAGTGCTCAGATGGATGCAGGGCGGGGTCATCCCAAGCCTGACCTCTCCCTCTTACGTCCACATTTGAGAAACTCTTTTCTCTTGTCTGCTTTTTTTTTTTTTTTTTAAATTTATACAATAGCTGGGGTACAGGCAGAGGCACGGGAGGGTGAGAGGATTCACCAGACACAGAGCAGGGAGCAGAACAGGCAGACAGACCGAAAGCACTGCGAGGGGAGCAGTGGGTGAGACAGGAGAGGTCTGCCGCGCCATGTGGGATTCTCCCTGGCTGGCTGGGAATCGAGCCCGCGCTGCAGAGGCTGAGGACAGCTTCATAGCGCTGTGCTCAATCCACTGCACCACCAGGAGGCTCTCTGCTCTTTTTGGCTTGTTGCTCATACAGGACTGTGGTATCTCAGCAGACCCTCAATGGGAAGAATTTGGAGAACCCCAATGGGAACACAGGTTCCCATCAGGGAACTTTGTGCAACCCCTGGAACCTGATGACTTGGGGATTTTCAAAACCCCTTTGGTTGAGTGGCTTTGGAAAAGGTTACTCAGGCTGAGGTGCCCTCAGGCATTTGAAAAGGATGGAAATTTCAAACAGATTCTTTTCCACTCAGCATTGCTCTTTCAACTTTAGAAGCATTCTGCGGGTGACTGGGACTTGGCATAAAAACAGTTAAAAGTCTATAAGCCAAAAGACAATATAGATTTCACAGGACTCCTTTTTCAAGATATGAAATTGCTGGGTTGTTTTCCTTTGGTAATTGAAGCCAGAATTCAATGTCCTCTTTACTTCCTTTTGGATTCGTGTTCTTTAAAAAAATATTTTGCCAGTTTTTTAGGGCATATTACATTTTGTCCTTCTGCTGCCCTCTCCCCCCTAGTTACCACAGGTCTGTGCTGCTGACTGTTCTGTGTACAAGACCCCAATGTACTGGGAGTACCCTTGGATGATGAAACCCCTGAAGGATGGGATAGGGTGTCCTTTGGACCAGAGAACATGATGACCCAAATTGGCTTATTCAAATTAAAAAAACATTTAAATTGTGGTAAAATACACACACACAAGTGCACACACACACACACTTTACCTTCTCAACCATTCCTAAGTGTACAGTTCAGTGACATTAAGTTCATTCATCTTGTTATGCAACCAACATCACCATCCATCTTCAGAATTTTTCTCTTTCTGAATTGAAACTCTGTCCCCATTGACGTTATCTGTACTGCCCAGCCCCTGCCCAGCCTCTGCCCAGCCTCTGCCCAGCCTCTGCCCAGCCTCTGCCCATTGCCTGCTATTGACTACCAAAGTCATTCTACTTTATATGAGTACTTATATGAGTACTTTGTATGAGTAGACTTATATTTTGTCCTTTTGTGACTGACATGTCCTCAGGGTTTACCTACATTATAACATGTGTCATAATTTCCTTCCTTTTTCAACTGAATAATATTCCACTATATGCATATGCCATATTTTGTTTATTCATTCATCTCATCTGTCAATAGACACTTGGGTTGTCTCCCCTCCTTGGCTATTCTGAATAATGCTGCTATAATGGTGGATGTTCAGATATCTTATTGAGACCCTGCTTCTAACTTCTTGTCATTTCAAGTTATGCTAACTGATATACTTGGATAGAGACAGAGCATATGTTTTAGAATTGAGGTGGGCTTCTTTTCAGATCGAGGCTTTGGGAAACTGATCTAGGAGTTCTAGGTCATACTCAAGTCTTCTGGGCTTGATTTTATTATTTATTAGCTGAAAATAGTACCCAGCTCCTAGGATTGTGTTACATGCTCCTCCTTACCTTTGCCCTGACTTCTTCTCCTAGCTCCTTATAACCTTTCTTTCCATTGCTCCCTGCACTGCACGCTCCTAGAATTCTATGTACACTGGGTGTTAGTAGCTCTTTCTAGGGTCCCAGCTATTGGTATGCTCAGTAGATGAGAGCAGGCCATTGGGTGAACATGTCTTGTCCTAAGGTGCTCAAATTCTAGAACAGGTAGCCTCTGCTCATTTCCCCAGGGCTTTTCATGACACCTATTCCAGAGACTGGTGTGTGTGCTGATGGCAACTGTGGGGTCATTTACACTCAGTGCTTTCTGTTGACCTCAGCAAAGGTCCTAGCGCCATCTATGTTCTGGGAGACATAGCAAGGTGTGTGAGCCTGCAGTGAGGCTTTGTTCTACTTCTCTCCTCAGGCTGCAGTAATACATACAACTGTGTTTAATGCTGTCGGTCTTACTATGCCAGCAGAGTCCAGAGACTTTGTATTGGTCATTTGACTACCATGGAGTTTTTGAAAATTCAAATTCTCTGAATTTCAGGTCGCTTAGTTTTTTTTTTTTTTAAAGTCAAATTTTCTTTTCTTTCTTTTTTTTTTTTTAAAGATTTATTTATTTATATAAGCACTGGGGTACAAGCCAGAGGTGCAGGAGGGTGAAAGAATTCACCAGAGACCTAGCAGGGAGCAGAACAGGCAGAAGGAAATTCACTGAAATACACTGCTGAGAGGAGCAGTGGGCAAGACAGGAGAGGTCTGCCACGCCATGTGGGAATCTACCTGGCTCGCCGGGAATCGAACAAATGCTGCAGAGGCTGCAGATAGCTTTACAGAGCTGCTCTCAACCCGCTGTGCCACTGGGGAGACCTGAAAGTCAAATTTTCTGAGCCTCTGTTGCAATTCCTGGTATGACTGAGTTACATGATTTCATCAGGGAACAATTGAAATTAATGTAGATGAAGGCACATTATGATTAACACGGTGCTATGCAATGTGAAAATAATAACCAACACTTATTATGAGTCTTACGTGCTGTTCTAAGCTGTCTACGTCTAACAACTCATTTAATTTAATGCTTATAGCAACCATCTAATCACAGGTACTGTTTATTTCCCCATTTTACTGATAAGAAAACTGAAGCAGAGAAAGGTTAGGTAACTTGTGGAAAGTCACACAGCCAGCAGTAGACAGCCAGGGTTTCAACCTGCCAAGATGTCAGAACTATGCTCTCAACTGCTACACTGCCCTGGCTCTTTGAAATGTCAGTATTTTTCATTGTTTCTATTCCTCTTGCATGGCTGGGGGCAGGGGTCGTTTGGAGGGGGAAGAACACAGCCCCCAATTTGGAGAATTCATCAAGCAGGGCCTCCTGTAATCCTCTGTGTGAGATGAATTGATGGGCATAAATTGTGCCACAGTCATGCAGGGACATGGATAGCTCAGATAATGAAAATTGACCTATTGTTCAATGAGTAGCAAGAATAAGTGATTTGATCTCATTTTGAGGAGTGCGCTGACATTCTGGTTTCAAGTCATTTGCTTTCTCTGGGCTCACTCTGTGATGAAAATGCTGATGTACCTAAAAGACCAACAGGCAAGATGCTGGAGGGTTCAGAAAGGGCTGCCGAGGTTGTATCTCCAATCTGCATGCTGACGTGTTGGCAAAACTCACAACAATGCCAGCTGCTCTGCTAAACAGAGGCGCTGAGATGCTGTGTTGTTTCTGTACATTCAAAGCAAACACTTCCCAAGGATCATCAGAAATGTTCATAGCAGGTTGGCCCTGAGTTCACTGAACCATCATCTCTCCTGGACAAATGCACTGGGAGATGACCTCAGGGATGTTCTGCAAATGCAGTTCCAGTTGAGCCGGCGGGAGCTGTGTGCTTACGGCACCATTTTCTGTTTTCTTCCCAGGCAACCAGGATTGTGCAGCACCTGCAGCATCTTTTCGGAGGAGGAGGCTGGCACGGAGGCCGGGCTACATGAGAAGCACAGCTGGGCCCCAGATCGGGTTCCTTGCCCCAGCAGTGGGCACCCCATTCTGGCCCCAGGGAGAGGTGTGCAGTGAGAAGTCTGAGTCAAGGACTGCACAGTGTGCGCTTGACTCTGGAAGCCAGTGGCAAGGTCCCTCTGCTGGGAGCCCTGTCCCCAAGGGCACAACAGCCTCTATCCTGACCTCTCTGGGCCACCTACGCCTGGCCCTGAGCCCTGTAAGGGGAGCCACGGGGCTCTTTGGGATTCAGCTTCGAGCTGCTGCCAAACTTCCCAACAGGATAACCAGGTCATGTGGCCCTGGGAACATCAGCTGTCAGGGGGAGCTTCCATCCATGGACAGTGCTGAGCCCCCAGACCTTAGCTGGGATGCAGCCTGCAGCGAAGGAGCAAGGGGCACCTGGACAAAGGGCTGTCTGGCCTCAGAGGAGGTGAGTAGTGATAGCTGCAGCCTCGCAAGTGGCCTCAAAGCCCCCTCAGCCCCAGAAGGCTGTCAGGATGCCTTCACCTCCAGCTTTAGCTTCATCCGGCTCTCACTTGGCTCTGCTGGGGAACGTGGAGAAGCAGAAGGCTGCCCACCATCCAGAGAAGCCAAAGCCCCTTGTCAGAGTCTAGAGGAGACAGAAGCCATGGCTGCTGACTTGGAAAGGCCTCATGCGGACCTTCGACTTCTCTCTCTGTCCTGCAGTCTCAAGACAGCTCAGGGCCCGGAACACTGTGTGCAGGCCGCAGGGGGCAGTCCCAGTCTGGCTTGTGAGAAACTTGCTTTATTGGCCACCGACACTGCCTCCTCCTGCTTCCAGGGTAACATCTTGGGGGATGCCCTCCCCTCGGACCTACTTCTCAGGAAATGTGAGTCTGTGCTACTGGACTGCCTGCTGAGCCACCGGAGGCAGCTGGAGGTTGGTGTCTCCCCAACCTTTGGGGCCCTGAGATTGTCACAAGCTCAGATTAGCTCTGGGCAAAGGGCAGGAAATGAGTGGTTCTGGCTTGACCGACTTCCTCCCTAGAAGCTGCAACAGCTCCTTTTGTGGCTGACTGTACAAAGATGTTGCTGCACTTCTGTCTCTGCTGTTTCACTTTGAACACCAGTCTGTTCTTGTTATTCACCCATCTTTGCTCTCTGCTGGGCTGCTGCCCCTCTGCAGTTGCTGGCCTAGTGGATGCATGCAGTTTAGCTCACCCTGCTCTGCTTTGAAACAGGGATAGAGGCCAGGGATAGAGGGAGATGAAGGTGGCTGATGTTCAAAAGGGATCTAGTGATATGAAGATGCTGACTCCCATGTACTGGGTGCGATGAGCTTCATGTCTCATCCTTCTGTGGTGGGAACTGCATAGCATAGAATCAGGAGACTTCCTTTCTGGTCATTAAACTTCTTGGCCCTCAGTCTCCTTATGTAGAGATAACACTGCACAGATGGCTCTGTTGCCGAATGAAAACGTAAATGCTTTGGAAATTAGCATGGATGGATAAATGTAAGTCCCAGTGCCATGACGTTGCTGCTCCCTTTCTTATCTGAGAGGTGGGCATGGGAGTTGGCAGCATTGCTCTTCCCTGAAAAGCTCCCATGGAGCCCAAGGCAGAGCTGCTTTGTGGCAGACCCAGAGTGCTGGGTGGCTTATGCTCTTGAAGGCTGTTTTCCTTCTGGGTGTGTGCTTGTGTCTGTGTATATGTGTGTGTGTCTGTGTATACATGTCTGTGTATACATATATATATATATATATACTTATAGGCATATATATACACTTATAGGCATATATATATACTTAGCATATATATATATACATATATATATACACATATACACACACACTTCTATACCTATATATATATATATATATATATATATATATATATATATATGTATTTATAGGCAGGGACATCATGTACCTGAGGAGGTGAAGTTCACATTCATTCCCATCAGTCAGATCTCATTTACTTTCAATTCTTTCCCTTTAGTGTTCCTGGCCCATCCATTTGCCTTGTGCTGGCCTGCAGGGCCCCTCCACCTGCCATCTGACTTATAACTCGGGGAAAGAGCAAAGTCATGCCAGACATGGGGGTCTCTATTCCCAAGTGGTGCACAGAATCCTCAAGTTTTATGTGACCCAAACTGAAGCTACTGTCATCTCCACCAAACCTGTTTGAAAGGGCCTTACTCTTGATACATATTTGTTGTTTTAAATGAAAAGAATCCATTCGTTTCCTTAGAGAAACAGCCCTCATCATCAGTGTTCCCTGCCCTCATTTTCTTCATGTGGTCAACCAGGCTCCAAGATCTCACAGTCCAGTGGCCAGCCTGCCTCTCACAGCCATGGCCACTGCTTTTGTGTAATTTCTTGTTATCTTGTACCAGGGTTTTGCAAGAGATTATTGGCATATTTACCTTCTCTCAGTGTCTCTCTTCTCCAGTTCATCCTCCCTGTGATCAGTAGTTACCTTCTGGAAGGTTGGTGGAATGGTGTGTTTCTGGGCTTGGCTCCTATGCTGGCTCATTGCTCCTCTTGGGATAGTATGCATGTTCCTTATCCTGATCGTGGAGACCTTTCCCTGCCTGCTCCAATGCTTGACTCCTGCCAGCTCAGCCATCTGGGACTGCTTCCTGTTCCTGAAGACACCAGGGAAATCTGTGCCGCAATCTTATGCTTACAGTTTTCTCTCTGCCTGGGATGATCTTCCTACACTTTCCCTATATTATCCCTCAGGTGTGACTCTAAGCCACTTCCTGGGGCGTTTCAGATCAAATGAACTCCTCTTTCTGTTTCATTCCCACAGCACTTAGGACATGCCCCCTTACAGCACTCACTGACCCTAAATATCAATTTTCAGCACTTTGTGTTGGAGATCTTAAAAAACATCTCTACAACATACCACTGTTTCTCTATCTCCAAAATCCAATTTTGACTCAAGAGAAGCAAAGCAGGATGCTGTTATAATAACCAGCTCCATTTCTTCCCAAATAACCAACCAGAGAGAAATTCTCCTTGGCAATGATTCTACTGCGGTGCTCAAGAATCATCTGCTAGATTTTGGTAGCACCAACGCCAACAGTTTTTCCCTTCCTCTTATGTTCTCTCACTTGGCTCTAGATCACGTCTTCCTAAGAACCCAGAGTTTTTGACAAACTGGAATCTGTGAAACCCTGAGCAGATGTGACTCCTTGGGGACCCAACCGTGCCCTGGGTTCACCATGCCAGCTCTCTGAGAGAGGGTCACCGGGTCACAGGAGGACCTGGGAGCTGGAATTCCAGGGACTGTGGCTGGGGAGAGCCACCGTTCACTGAGAAATAATCAGATATAATATAATTGAAAAAACAAACAAACTTTTATTCAAGAATAAGAATCATGATTTGGACGTACGACCCAAGGGTGAACCCAGGTGTGCTCCATCAGGGCCAGGGCACAGGGTAGTTTTAAAGAATCAAGAAGAGGAGTGAACTAGGGTTTAGGTCTTTTGTTTGAACCTTTTGCATTAGTGGACAGGATTCTTCAGACAGGAAGCTGTAATGTGGGGTCTTTTGTGACCATCAGCTGGTCTTATTGTTTCTTTCATAATCACAGATAAGCAGGGAAAAGAGGGTGTTGCTGTCTTTCCCCTAAGCCATCATTGGTCAGCAGAAACCTATGAGTGGGTTCATCACCCATTTTGTACTCACTGACAGGGAGCTGCTTTGTCCTAGAATCTCCCTGTGGCAGCTACAGCCAAGATGGAGACTGATTCAAAGTAGGTTCCATGCTACTTTGACTCATCTGTTATTTTATTAATTTTTAAAAATTGTCTTTTTTTAAAATCAAGGTAATGTTGGATTACAACACTGTATGTGATTTGGAGATACATTCATACTTCTTCAGATGTATGTCACCACACCTACCCCCTTTTAGATTTCTTGATATTTAGTTTTAGAAAGAAAATAAAACCAACCCTAGACTCATCCCTTCCTTTCTCATTTATTGCCCAATAGCAGCCTTTGAACATAAAGAATTGGTGATAACCCACTAGAGAGTTGTTTTATGGGGAAGGAGGGCCAGGTTGCTGGGGTTTGTCCACGCGGCGTGCTTACCTAGTCTGTACTTCTGCCACTCCAGGAGCTTTGGGGGAGGTGTGAGCCCTGCTGCCCCTCGGTGCCTACTGGGGTGCCTGTGAGTTGTCCTGTTGAGCCTGCAGCATGGCACGCTAGCGGGAGGGTAGCCTATTGCTGTCCCTACCTGGCTATGTGATCCGAGATTCTCACTTAATTGTTCTATGGCTCAAGATGCTCTCATAGAAGGCAGAGGTAATGTTGCTAGATTGCCATGAGGATTAACGTGGTCATCCAGAGTCTAGCTGAGTCTGGCGCTACACAGGTGCCCAGGGTATTGCCTGTTATTATCCATAGGAAAATAACTCAAAGTTAAGAAAATTTGACTCGAAGAAAAAGAAAGGAAGACTTCTCACCAAAGGAAGCTCAAAATTTAACTCATATCTCAAAGGATAGGCTCTGGACACAGTTTATTTATAGTTTAAGTATCATTGTTTATGGTAATTTAACACCTGGACAGGGGAACACATGATGCCATTTTCAATTATGTGAGTGTCTCTGTTGTGTGGAAAAGGAATTAACTTTATTCAGAGTGGTGGGAGTGAGAGAAGGATCTCTGCCCAGGGCAGAGAGTTTATGAGCAGACAGATTTTGTTTTAATAAGAGGAACAGGCTCCTGATAGCTGGGGTTGTGTGAGATGAGAGGGCCATGGGGAAGGACCTGCTATTTCTATTATGTCTGTGCAGAGGCCCCAGTTTCCTCAGTTGGGCTACTCAGAACTGGGGAGTTGGGCTAAGGGTCTTCAAAAGAATCCTTTGAAAGATTGGGATTCTAGGTGTTATATCATGAGTTCTTAATTCCCCCTCCCTTCTCCTTAAAAATGCAAATCTCAGGAATTTGAATGTTAGCTCCTTTTAAAATACAGTGGCCCCTTAGTATTTGTGGTTTCTATATTTGAGAATTTGCTTTCTTGCTAAAATTTAACGGTATCTTCAAAGTTAATGTTGGCATTGCTTTCCTGGCCATTTGTGGATATGTGCAGAATGGCTGCAAATTTGAGTCACTCGATGGGTGTTCCCAGTTGAAGTCAAACAAGGCCACACCCTGTTTTCTTGTTTCAGGTCTCATCCCATAAAAGAGTCTTTTTGGTGGTCTATTTAGTGTTGTGCTTGTCATGTTTTTTGTGCTTTTTGTTGGTGATTTTACTATTTACAATGGCCTCCCAGCATAGTGCTGCAGTGTTGTCTAGTGTCCTTAAGTCTGAGAAGGCAGGAAATTAGGTGCTAGAAACTGGTGAAAAAGGAAATTGCCTGTCTCACCTGGGCTGTGTCACTGGTAAAGACATGCCCATCAGTGGCTGTGCTTCCAGCAAGATGGATGTTCAGGCATATCCAGGGCATCCATTCAGACACTTATAGGGTAATTAGCCAAGAGGGGTAAAATGAGGTGGGCATTGGTTGTGAATGAATTTTTCTTTGATCTGCTTGAGCTCTAGTAAGTGTTTAATAGTACCATAATTTGGATGTGGCGATGGTAATCCTATAGCTTTATGTAGCAGTTCAATCAACCATACAGCCTTTTTTCCTACCCCTATTATGAAGGACTAAGGAACTGGTAAAATTTGCAGTTATAAAGGTGTTAACATGATCACTCATTCTTTCATTCAGAAAATATTTTCCCATCAGTGCTAGTACAACACTTTGTGCTTGGCTTTGGAGATTATACTAGTTAGTATTGGCTAGAGACAGTCAGTCAGACAATATCAGAGGCTTAGTAAACCAGAGTCGTGTTTCTTGCTTATGCTTCACCTTCCACAGAGGTGGTTGGGGACTCTGCTCTGCAGAGTTACTCAGGAACCCACACTGGGCCTTGTCTGCATGTGGCCCCCTTAATCATTGAGACAGGAAGGGGACCCTGAGGATCCTCTAAGAGCAATTACATGTTTCAGGGTTAAATGGAGACTGCAGACAAAACAAAAAGATGGTGGGATCACTAAGATACTTTCTTGCAACTCCTTTCTTCCAGTGGCTCACACCAAAAGCCTGGCATTAGCCTGACTCTTTCTCACCTCTTCCCCCCTTCACTGCTTGTGATTGGTGAGTTGTTCCTGTTGGTCCTCTCTCCACCAGCCATTTTTGGAATATTTTCAGAATCAGATCACGTCTCTCCATCTCCTCTGCTCCTGCTACAATCCAAGCTCCCATCACCTCTTTCCTGGTTTGGTTCCATAGCTTCCTTCTAACCTGGCCACCCTACTTGTACCTCTATCTGGGGCAGTCAGAATGAGACTCTTCAAACATACATCAGATCACATATTTTTTCCTCAAAAGCACCAATGTCTCCCCATGACCTTCAGAGTAAAATCAGAATTTTTATTTATTTTCAATTTAATTTAATTTAATTTTTTTTGAATTCTGATTTTTTAATTTAAATTTTATTTTTATATTCCCCATACAATTACAACCCCCTTATTTTGACCACAATCCCTCCTTTCCCCGCCCCCCAAACCCCATAGAGTGTCTCTGGTTCATAGTTGTTTGTTGATTTTGATATTTTCTTTCTTATAGTTATTCATTTTCCTGGTCCCTTATTTAAGTTTTCTAGATTCCTGCTATGAGTGAGACCATCCGGTATTTTTCTTTTTCTTTCTGGCTTATTTCGCTGAGCATGATCCCTTCCAGTGCCATCCATGTTGCTGCAAATTGCATGTGTTTATCTTTTTTGAATGCTGAGTAATATTCCATGGTATATATGTACCACATCTTGATCCAGTCATCTATTTTTGGGCATTTGGGTTGTTTCCAAAGCTTAGCTATTGTAAATAGTGCTGCTATAAACATAGGGGTGCAGGTGCTCTTTGGAATTGATGTTTCTGTGTCCTTTGGTAAATACCTAGGAGTGGAATTGCTGGATCATATGGAAGCTCTATGTTTAGTAGGTCCAGAAATCTCCACACAGCTCTCCATAGTGGTTGGACCAGTTTGCACTCCCACCAACAGTGCAGGAGAGTTCCTTGTTCTCCACAACCTCGCCAACATTTGTTGTTGCTAGTTTTTTTAATATGTGTCATTCTCACTGATGTAAGATGGTATCTCATGGTAGTTTTGATTTGCATTTCCCTGATGACAAGTGATGTTGAACATTTTTTCATATGCCTGCTGGCCATTTGCATTTCCTCTTCAGAGAAGTTTCTTTTTAGCTCTTCTGCCCATTTTTTGACTGGATTATTTTCTTTGTTTTTGTTGAGTCTCATCAGCTCTTTGTAGATTTTTGTGATCAGTCCTTTATCATTAGTGTTGTGTGCAAAAATGTTCTCCCAGTCGATGGGGTTTCTGTTTTTGTTATTGTCTCTTTTGCTGTGCAGAAGCTCTTCAATTTGATGTAGTCCCAGATGTTTATCTTTGCCTTCACTATCATTGCTTTGGGTGATGTGTCTGTAAAGATGTCTTTGATGTGCAAATCACGTAGTGTTTCGCCTATATTTCCTTCTATATATTTTATGGTTTCAGGTCTTATGTCTAGTTCTTTAATCCATTTTGAGTTGGTTTTTGTGCATGGTGTGAGGTAGTGGTCAAGCTTCATTCTTTTGCATGTAGTGACCCAGTTTTCCCAGCACCATTTATTGAACAAACTTTCTTTGCTCCAATGCATAGTCTTTGCTCCTTTGTCAAAGATTAGTTGACCATAAATCTGTGGGTTTATTTCTGGATTTTCTATTCAATTCCATTGGTCTGTGTGTCTGTTTTTGTTCCAATACCATGCAGTTTTGATGATTATGGCTTTGTAGTGTAGTTTGAAGTCTGGGAGTGTGATACCTCCATTCCCTTCTTTTTTTTTCAGGAGAGCTTTGGCCATTCAGAGTTTTTGGTGATTCCATATGAATTTCATCAATAATTGTTCTATTTCTTTGAAGAATGACATTGAAATTTTTATTGGAATAGCATTGAATCTGTATACTGCTTTTGGTAGGATGGTCATTTTAGTAATGTTTATTCTTCCAATCCATGAGCAGGGGATGTCTTTCCATTTCTTTGTGTCTTCTTCTATTTCTTTTAACAGTGTTTTATAGTTTTCTTTGTATAGGTCCTTTATCTCTTTTGTTAGATTTATTCCCAAGTATTTGATTTTTTTTTGTTTCAATAATAAAAGGGATTTTTTTTTTGATTTCTTCTTCTTCAGATTTGTTTGTGTATAGGAAGTCTACTCACTTTTGCGTGTTGATTTTATATCCTACCACTTTATTGAACTGTAAAATCAGAATTTTTAAATGGTCTTCATGGCTCTTCATACATATTACTCACTACTTCTCTGATGCCATCTTCTACAATTTTCCCCTTGATCAATCATTACAGATTCAGTGGCCTTCTTGCTTTAATGTTCCATACCAGGAATGCATCTGCTCCAGAGACTTTGCACCCACTCTTCTCTCCGTTGTAAAGGGTTTCTCCCAGAGATCCTCATGATTTACTCCCTTATCACTTTTAAATCTCTGCTCAAACATCACATTCTCAGTGAGATCCTATTTAAAATTACAACCCCACTGTCTACCTACATTTCTGACCTCCTTGGTTTTACTTTTTTTCTCCTTTTGTAGCACTGATCACTTTTGGAGGCAAAGCACTTTCTTATTATTTTAGCTTTTGTCTTCCTACATGAGAAAGTAAGTCTAGAGGGCTAAGAATTTTGCGCTGTTTCTGCAGCACCCCAAATGCTACCTGACATCTAAGAGACACTCAGTAAATATTTGTTAAATGGATGTTATGAGTAGAAACAAATACAGATACAGGAGAAGCAGTATGGAGGAGTGATGCGTGAGCTAGGTGCTGAAGGAAATTTAAGTCAGGCAAAGGATGGGAGGGAGGGGTTTCTAGGGAGCAAGCCCAGATCCACCCATTAATAGGTCAAGAGTCCATCTTCAGAAAATCCCTGAACCTCCTGTTGAGAAGAAAAATAATTACAAATGAACATATTGGCAATTCTCAGGCAAATGATGGGGTCTTTGAGTATATTCAGGTTAAATACGACAATGCCCTTTTCTATAATGGAAACCTTCTGCTTCGTAAGAGGGTCTGGTGCAGTTCTTCTTGTCGTTCTCACCCAGCCTTCAGGACAGCCTGCTGAGTTTAAGTTCATGCTGTTCTTCTTTTGCTTTCTTTCCCAATTTTTATATGTTTATCTTCATAATTTTAATGTGATTTTTATAACAGACCATTTGGTCAGGTCAGGAAATCTGTATTCCTTTTTATTATGCATTTTTTTTCATGCAGATAAGGGTACAGTGTGATGTTTTGTTTAAAATAACATTCTAACTCTGTGGATTTTATGCTCAAATTACACTTTTTCTTTATATAACATTTTTTAGAGAAATGAATGCATCTGGCATTGGAAAATTGTACATTTGCGGTTCCTTTTTTAAAGAAGAATAAAGAAGTTCAGTTTCTAAATAGTTTCTAAATGTCTTAGCTTTAACAAAGTGAGTTTGCTTGAATGCTATTGTAATTTGGTTTTTATTTCCCCCCCTTCATACCAACATAGGTAAAATCCTTAAGGTTAAATCTTCAGAAACTTCAAGAAAAAGCAATTGAGGATGATGATTTTGATAAAGGTGAGCATTAATTTATTATTACTTCTTTTTTTCATAGTGTCCCATTTTCCTTTCCTTCTTCACTCATATCTATCTTCCAAACCCAAATGAATTGTGAAATACATCCCTTTGATCATTTCCACTCAATAACGGTTGACTAATTTATAGCACAAATTTAGTGGATTTTTAAAAAAGATTTATTTTTATTTATTTTATGCATACAAGAACTAGGGTGTAGGCCACAGATGTGGGGGGTGAGAGGATTCACCAGAGACAGAGTGGGGAGCAAAACAGGCAGATTTACTGAAATACACTGCTGAGGGGAGCAGCAGGAGAGATAAGAGAGGTCTGCTGCACCATGTCGGTTAGCTCCTTGGGTGGAGATCAAACTCAGACCATAGTGATAAGTAGATGGCACTGAGACTTAGCCCCTACACCACCAGGGAGACCCTGTTCAGGCATTTTTTTGAATTTAATTTAATTTTATATATTTTGCATCATTCTTCTGTACAATGCATTCTTCTCCTCCCAGGTTTAGTCCCTGCAAAATTCCCACCACCAATTCACCTATGTGCCATCACCATAGTCCCTTGTGTAAGAACACATTCTCTCCCCTGTTTTGATTCCTCTCCCTCCTCCTCCCCTGCAAAGTATCTCTGATTAACAGTTGCTTGTTAATTTTGTTTTTTAATTTGTTGTAATTATTATTTTTTCCTGGTCCCTTATTTCATTTAGCTGACTTTGAAGCACTTCATGAATGTTAATCCAGTGGGTTATAAGTTTAATTTTATTAGTTGTCTAGAAACATGTGGAGCACTTGTATATTAAAAGTTGTATTAACTCATTCTCTGTTCCCTTATTTAGGTTTTCTAAATTCCTGCTATGAGTGAGACCATCTGGTATTTTTCTTTTTCTTTCTGGCTTATTTCGCTGAGCTTGATCCCTTCCAGCTCCATCCATGTTGCTGCAAATTGCATGAGTTTATCTTTTTTGATTGCTGAGTAATATTCCATTGTGTATATGTACCACATCTTCTTGATCCAGTCATCTATTTTTGGGCATTTGGGTTGTTTCCATAGCCTACCTATTGTAAAAGACTAATTGTAATAAAGTAAAAATCAAAATCAACAAGCAACTATAAACCAGAGACACACTATGAGGGGTGGGGAGAAGGGAGTAGGCTCAAAACAAGGGTAGTGGGAATTGCATGGGGACTATAACCAAGATAAAAACGCATATATTACATTGGGCAAAAATGAAAAATGATGTAAAAAATATATAAAATTAGAAAATTTAAAAAAAGTTGTATTAACTCATTATCTGTCTGCCTGAGGTGTGAGATAGCTATAATTTACTCACTCATCAAAAGATGTTTATTGAACATCTATTATGTGCTAGACAATGTGGCAGGAGGAGGAAAGGAAGGTGGACACAATATCTGACTTTGCTGTGCCTATAAATACTTCATGCGGCATTTTGACTTCATACTCTCTGGGACCAGACTCAGGAAATGGAATGAGTTTGGAGATGCTAGGCTTTGCCAAAGGGATCATATGTATCGAATTACCATTGCAGATGGCGTTGGTACCTAAGCTAGAAAGAAGTAGTAGCGTGAGACCAGCAGATAAGGAAGTCAATCAGAAGGTAGAAAAGAAGAGTTAAAACGAGGCATCAAAATAGGAGTTGGGTCAGATGCTGACATAGCAGCTGAGTGGATGCAGGGTAGGTTGAGTCAAGGAAGAATCTCAGGTATGGATGGCCTGGGAAGAATCTTAACGATTTTATTTTATTTTATTTTATATATTTTTACATCATTTTCCATTTTTGCACAATGTATGTTGATTGCAAGATTTCATCCCCATTTATGCTGGGCATGGGAAAATGAGAATACTTAAAATAACTTCCAGGATCCCCCCGACACTTACATACTTGGTAGATACTCCTGATGATAACCAAGTTTAGCACACCTAGGTCTGGAAATAGACTTTCCAGACCAATGAATTTGTCACAGACCATTGGAATTGGGGCACTACACGAATGGGGAGAGGGATTCCCAAAACATAGCAAATCCTGTATTAATAGGTTATCCAGAGCTGATCCTATTTAGTGTTTTTATTACAGAGATTATTAAGATGGGGTTTAGAAAGTGACAGGGGTGTGGGAGGAAGGGGAGGAATTTGGGAACTCTCTAAACAATCCCATCCCTCTTTTTCCTGGCTGTCTGGATTTCATAAAGATGCCAGCTGGAAGATGGGAGGCGTGAGGCAAGGGAAAGTCTACCTCTGCCCTTCAGCCCTGCGAATAGCTATAGTTAGCGAGAAAATGAACTATTGCCGGAGCAGGGTGCACCTGATTACTTTTGTCTGTGAAAGACAATTAAACCTAGTTTTGAGGGTCCCCTCTATTGTATAAATTTATTTTCTTTGCCATGGACTGAGTTTTGATCCCTTTAGCAATAGTGTTTGCTGTAGCAAACAAAGCTTGTGGCACAGGTAGACAACCAAGTCCTCTTCCTTTGATTAAAAACTGGTGAACTTTTGGGCCTCCCTGGTGGTGCAAGGGGTTGGGCACCACACTATGGAGCAGTCCACAGCCTCTGTGGCATGAGTTTGGTCCCTGGCTGGCCAGGGAGAAACCCCCATGGCGCAGCAGACCTCTCCTGACTTGCCTGCTGCTCCCCTCAGCAGTGTATTTCAGTTAGTCTGCCTGTTCTGTCCCCCGCTCTATCTCTCATGAAACCTCTCACCCCCCCACACCCCTGACCTGTACCCCAGCTCTTGTATGCATAAATAAATAAATCTTTAAAAAAAACTGGTGAACTTTCTGGATTTGGTTTTCTCAATGGGCTTCATTAAATGAAGACTTACTACTTTTGGCTCTTCTTCATATATCTCTGAAACACATAAGGCAACAAAGTTGGACAGGATACTCTGCGAAAAGAACAAAGACACACTTATTTAGTATTCCTGCTTTTTTTCTTCTTTATATGTCAGTGTCTACTGGATCAGGAGTTTTGGGGGTAGGCTAGCATTCTGTGTTTTCTCAAGCTTTCCAGGTGACAGAGGTGCATGTTGATGACTAAAGAAACACTGGGGCAAGGCTTTACTAGATCTAGGCCCAGGGTAGGGCAACTTGCTGAGTTCTGGAGGTAGAGTTCAGCCTTGAACTGTGCCCTCCTGACACACCGGAAGTTAGCAGAGTAGATAAGCACCCTGGAAGGCACTTTGAGACCATGTACCACTCATTCAATTTAAACTCTCCAAACCTGCAAACTTGGTTCAGGGTGTTGAGGATGGAAGTATTCTTTCTTTTTTTTTTTTAGATTTATTTTATTTATGCATACAAGAACTGGGGTACAGGCCAGAGGTATGGGGGTGGGGGTGGTGGTGAGAGGATTCACCAGAGACAGAGTGGGGAGCAGAACAGACAGACTGAAATACACTGCTGAGGGGAGCAGTGGGCGCGACAGGAGAGACCTGCTGTGCCATGTGAGTAGCTCCACAGCCAGCCGAGATCGAACCTGCGCTGCAGAGGCTGTGGACGGCTTCACAGCACTGCGCTCAACTGCCTGTGCCACCAGGGAGGCCGAGATGGAAGTATTCTTATTCCGTGTGCACAGTACGTGGTGTACTCAGTCAGTATTTCCCAAGTGAACGAGTAAGTGACTTGCTACCTGCAGGCTGAGAGGCCTTGCATGGAAGTTAGAAGGAATGCAAGCAGAAAGCACCCTTGCCCCTTCAAGATGAGATACTCCCTTGCCCATCTGTAGTCACAGGATGGATTGAGAGAGGGGGAATATATTTTTGTGTAGAAGTTGGCTTATTATGTACAAATACCTATTAAGCATCCATTGGCTATAACAGAGCTTCTCAATGTTAAATGTCTATCAGAATCACCTGGGAACGTGTTAAATGCATGTTCTGATTCTGTTTCTAATAAGCTCCCAAATGATGTGCATGCTGATGTTCTGACAACCACACTTGGGGTAGTGTAGTGATAGGATATGGTGAGTAGATGGTGCCATTGTTACAGATACACAAAAATGATATATCATTTTGTATCTAAAATATATTGATATAATATATGTTTGTATCTATATCTATATGTTATATATCTATATTATATGTCACTATGTATTTTCTATAGACAAAGAAATTTCCAAAAGGGGAGAATTACTTCTGTTAGATTTTGGGGTGGGCAAAGGATCAAAGGCTTATAGAGAAGGTGGTAATCCAAATGGACCTTGGAGGGTGAAAATGATGCATCTAGAAGGACATTTTAGAGAAGGTAAAGAGGCAGACAAGCTACCATGACTATGAGCCACCATCCAAGAGTTTGGTTGTTGAAATGAAATTGAATCTGGCTATCATCTGAAATGGATCACTGCAGGCTCTGGTGCATGAACTGTCACATAGTAGGTGATTGATAATTTCTTGTAAGCTGATTGCTAAGTCATTCTACAACATTGAGTTGGAGAATTTGTTGTAATGAGATTGGATGAAATAGGATTTGAATAGTATTTCCTTTCTTACCTACTTTATCCAGGGTTACTACAAAGTGTTTGGAATTATGGAGATTCTTCTTTGTATTCAGCTTTTATAGTCCTTGTGGGAATCACTTATTTTTTTTTGTTGTTAGGAGCCGCTGTGCAGCTGTGCCATGTCCCAGGGGTCGTGGTCTGCTGGGATCTGAGAAATTTGCAAGGAGAATCTAGAGGGTGACCTTATCTCCCTTGGTTTTGTTGCTTTTTTTTTTTTTCTTTCTAGTTTCACTCATAAAAATGACTTTGTGTTCCAGAGAAAGGAGCAACTGGCACAGAATAGAAAGTTCCATGTTTTATCTCATCAAAGTGCTGGCAAATTCATCCACTAATGCCTGTGGGGAAACCTTCTCAAGGCTCTAATTACATCTCTCCCTCACTAGGGAAGTAAAGTTAATATTTCTTTATATTCTTGCTTAAAGCTGGGAGGGCTTGGGAGAAAAAGAATAGTATGATGTGGTATTTGCTTAGGATCTTTCTT